CTGTTTGTAAGAAGGAAAAAGCCTCTATCAAGATGAGAAGATCCTGTCTATTTTTCTAATTAAAGATTTGAGCTGATCCAAGATCTCACTGCGTTGTTCCTGCCTTTATATCCCGTTTAGCAGCCGATGCCGGTGGGATTTCCATTGGGTTTGACCTCTCGTGTGGGGAAAAAGGTGCTTAAATAATTAGCAGGGAGAAAAGAATCAATCAGAGCAGTGGGGGGGTGGTGACCCTCCTCCCAAGCATCCCAAATCCCCACGGTGGGTGGCTTATCCCAGGAGAAGGGTCTTGTCCCAGCACAGAGCAGGGAAGGGATCCCCGCTCCCAGCTCATGAGTCCCCTACAGAAAACAGGGACGTGGCTCTGGGTTTATTCCAATAGGGACGAGCCCTGGAGGGATCTGCCCTACTTGGATCCAGAGCCATGGGGTTCGCTATGGGGACCACAAAGCCCAGCTCAGAGGCCTCATCCTGGTCCCTCCATGTGTCCTTGGCAGGCTTCTCCTGCAGGAAGCAGGGTGGGATACAGTCCCTGCTCCCCATCTTCAACCTGGCACATCCCCAAGGGCTGGAGGGGATCCAGGCACCATCAGGATGGACATTTGCTCCCTCCCTTTTGGTGATTTAAACAGCCAAGAGATGCTTTTCTCTTCTCCTGGGAACATCCAGTGGCACGGGAGATGTCACAGCTTGGAAGGTGCAGGGAATAGAGGTGGGGAAACTGAGGCAGGGAAAGGGAATGGCTGTAAACCTGCTCTCTCCAACAGGTTTTGCCCCCTGGAGAGGGAGGATCTGTCCCTCAACCATGTTATGGAGGAAAGGGGGGGTCTCCCTGCCTTATTTCCTTGTGTCTCCCAGCCCTTTGCCAACATGTGGACTGGAGCATCCCAGGATTAAATCCCATTTATACCCTTATCCCAGCAAAATCCAGTGCCCTGCACTGAGCTTGGTGTGGGCTGTGGGGACCCCATGGAGCTGGGCTGGGAAGACGAGCAGTGGACAGGGGGTCCCCAAGGGCTGCCAGCAGGGATGGAATGGGATGGGATGGGATGGGTCAGAATGGAATGGAATGGAATGGAATGGAATGGAATGGAATGGAATGGGGGAAGGGGCCAGAAGGAAACTTGGTTGCAGGGTAAATCCTAATTGTCCCCTCAGACCTGTCCCTAAGAGCTCACACCTCTGACAGCACCCAAGTGTGCTTGTGCCCCCCCAGGCACTGCCGGCCCCAGCAGCTGAACCACCCCATGCACGTGGGACATGATCCGGAGCAAGGACCATTCCATGGGATGCAGATGATCCCAGGCACCAGAAAATAACCTTTTCGGGAGGGGACAGCCAGATATCATTGACGGGTACCTCAGCACCCAGGTTTCCTTTGGGAAGAGGCAGGGTTTTGGGCACCTTTCCATGGGACATCAGCTCGTGTCAGCAGCAGCCGGCGCTGCTTCCCCTCGCTGCTGGCCATGCATGATGCATGAGGCCTTTATTAATACCCCTCTGGAAGTGCATCTACTATTGATGCTGAGCCTGGGAGCTCTGAGAGGCACCCTCTGCTCCCACCACAGCAGCAGCTCCTCGGTGGGATGGGGCTAAGGGGAGGATCAGGGACACCCCGAGCCCCAGGGTGCCTTGGGATGGGAATAAACCACTTGAGCTCAGGCCAGCAGCATCCTGAGCCCAACTATCTCCCCTCATGTCCCTATTGGAGCGAAGAAAACACATCAGTGTTGGGTGCCTTCAGCACTGGGGACCAAGATGAGGTGCTTGGGACTGGATCTGGATCAGGATCAGGCCAAGGATTAAACCAGGGACTAAGGTGCTTGAGGGCTCAACCAGGACCAAGCCAGGGACCAAGCCAGGGTGCTCAGGGACTGGATCAGGATCGAGCCAGGGACCAAGCCAGGGTGCTCAGGGACTGGATCAGGATCGAGCCAGGGACTAAGCCAGGGTGTGCAGAAACTGCATCAGGATGAAGCCCAGATGCTCAAGGGACTGGACCAGGACCAAGCCAGGTTTCCTGGGGACCAGCTCGGGACCAGCTGGGGACCAAGCCAGGGACCAAGCGAAGGTACTCTGGGACTCAGCCAGGACCAAGGCAGGGATTAAGCCAGGGTAATCAGGAACCAGATAAGGACCAAGACAGGGACCCAGTCCGGATGCTCAAGGGCTGAATCAGGACCAAGCTGGGAACCAACGCAGGGTTTTTGGGGACTGGGTCAGGATGAAGCCAGGATGCTGAAGGACCAGAACAGGACCAAGGCAGGGATTCAGCCAGGGTGTTCAAGGACTGGATCAGGATGAAGCCAGGGACCAAGCCACAATGGCTGGGGATTAGATCAGGATGAAGCCAGGGTTCTTGGGGACTGGATCAGGACCAAACCAGGGATCAACCCAGGGTGCTTGAGGACCAGCAGGAGACCAAGCCAGGGACCAAGCCAAGGTATTTGGGGACTCAGTCAGGATTAAGCCAGGGCAATCAGGGACTGGATCAGGACCAAGCCAGGGACCAAATCCGGATGCTCGGGAACTGGATCAGGACCAAGCCAAGATCCTTGTATCCCTGGGTCCAGCCTGGGATGGGGAAGGAGCGATGCAGGTTCCCAGGTTCAGCCGCACACCCCACATGCAGGGGGAT